TTATTATTATTATTATTATTACTATTAATCATGACCGCTGACCTTGACCCCCTGGTAAACCTTGATCTCGGACTGACTCTCCTGGAAGAAGGACACGATGTGCTTCAAGCCGGACTCACAGACGTCAGACGGCGGGTAGGTCAGGGGGTTCTCCTCCAGGTGAAGGACTTGTCCTTTACGGACGTCCAGTTTCTGGGGAGGGACAAGATGAGATAAGATAAGATAAGATAAGATGTGATAAGATACGATAAGATAAGATAGATAAGATAAAATAAGAAAAGATAATAGCTTACTATCCTAGAGGTCAATCGATCTTTAGCATTTAAACATTTTAATAGAAGTATTAACCAAAGTCATGGCGTGCGGTGAACTATTGAGGATAAATCCCAACTTGTTTCGCGCGCTCATATGACCTTGTGCAGTTGTGAGCGTCGTAAAACCCTTATTAAACTAACTATCCCTGAGGGAAATTTTTCTTGGCTGTACAGGACCGTAAAAACACAAGCAGGTATACATAACAAATGTAAATTATAATAATATGTTACTCTCATTAAAATTCAATACGAAAAGAGAAGTAAAGCTGATAAAAAGCTAATTCGAGTAAAGAGAAACTATATCGACACAGTAATGGTCATTTAGTGCGGGGGAGGAGGGGAGTAAGACAGACATATATATAGAAACAACAGATGGAAAGCAAAGAAGTAGGACCTACCAGTGGAAGCCCTTCAACAGCCCACAGAAATGATGCGCAATGCGTGTAAAATGTATCTCTTTAAGCAGTTAGAGTGCGCTTGTGTGTGTAAGTGTATGGGTGTGTGGGCGTGGGGGTAGTTATTGTGGTGGTGGTGGTGCTGCTGGTGCGTGTGTGTGTGTGTGTGTGTGTTGTGTGTGTGTGTGTGTGTGTGTGTGTGTGTGTGGAAGGGGGTTGGGTGGGGAGGAACTCTGTAACTTCAGTTGGTATTATGCATGCGTAACGATATAATCAGTAGGAGAACAATGTGCAGAAATAGTGATGGTCTATCAGTTTCTCATAATCAAGCAACGGATAATAAAGATATAAGTTTCTCAAATTTTACAAAGTGAAAACGTAATATAGCAGAAACATCAGTTTCTGAAGATTTATGCAAAATGATTTAATAATTAGATAAATAAGATAAAATATAATTTATAGTCAGATTCGAGTGACCCTCGTGACCACATATTCTGCTTCTCTTTGCAACATGGTTTTAGAAAGGGATGGTGAGAGATAGAAAGAGAGTGTGGAAGAGACAGACAGAGACAGACAGACAGACAGACAGACAGACAGACAGACAGACAGACAGACAGACAGA